TTTTAGATAAGATGCCTTGTATCTCTAAGTAGAAAAGAGCTAGAGGAAAAGATAAGGTTTACGTGGAATCTCTATTTCCTAGGCTTTCAGTATACAGGTTGTTGAGTAAAAAAGTCGCGGCTTTCCAAAAATGAGGTGGAGGTATTTGGTACTAACTTGCACCATCCCGCTCTTGCTTTCTATGGGTCGCAAGACTTTTTCAAACAGAAAAAGCTTTGTGCACCAACATCTTGTATACCATCGATAAATAAGAGGAATCGACGCAGACCGTCTCTTTCTTCCTAGCTTTTCTGCAAAGCAAGATACGAGCACTTTTATCTAGCTACATATCTGGGTAACTATTCCATGCTCCATTTTTGAAACCAAGAAGGTTTTTTTCGAAATATCTTGTATGATTCGAAAGCTTGAGAAACGAATAATCAAAATGCTTTTTTATTTGTTACTAGCTGGCTTACCCGGCTCCGTCCGGCCCTGTCAATGCTATGATTAAGGTCTCATCCCTATCCCCGTAAAACCTTTCATTGTTCCCATTTCTACATGCAATTCCTTACTCCCGCTGTGTTAGTAATCAGCATGCCCACCTACCTCCCTCAACAACCCCCAGCCCCGTAGCTCAAACTTTGCAAAAAAAAAGAACCGGTAAAAGTAAGGATGATTCTGAAAACTGATGGCGCTATTCGGCTATCCGGCCCCAAAATGTTTTTGTGATGGATCTTGCTCAAAGTCGGTACATGGGGATTATTAAAGCCGCTGATGACTGATATTGTAGTCATTTCGCGCGATACCGCCATTTTCTGGGTTTACGTTGGGTACACATAAGAAACTAAAATCATGGATTTCGCTGAAACTTTGAGGGGGGGGGGCAAATTGACATGCTGATTACGAATATCATACTCCTTCGGCATTTTGAGGGATTTCACTGAGTTATGGTAGGTATACTGCAGAGGGGCGGAATCTCAGTTTTGGCTGAAGATTCGACCTTTTGACCACGTCTAAGCACTCTTGTTGCGTTTTGAGACCTTTTCGCAGAGTTACGGTAGGTACATGGCAGCGGATAAAAATCATGAACCTGCCTGAAACCTTGGTGTTTCAAGAATATCGTGCTCAATCCCCACAATAAAGGCAATTCGTGTGGTATAAAAGTTCACGACCGTAATGCTTTCCCTTATAGGACCACTGCCGCGCGCGAGACACTCTTCGGCGGCTTTTGCCTAAGCAAAAACAGGGGAGGAAGATTTGCCGCGCGCGTTACCCGTTGGGGCAGGTTATCAGGATGGCGCTGGAGACCGTCATGCAAAACGACCGTTTCCCCATCTCTTAAATATCTGGGATCTAAATTGGCCCTAAAGTGAAAAAATGTCCGTTTAGACCCTGCAACTCGCCATAACTTCACAATGATGCGTTATGACAGCGAGCAAGCATCATATTCATAAGCAGTGTGCTTGTGAACCGTTACAGATAAGGTTTTGAGCAAATCTGGAACTTTGACCCATTTACTGTACACCCACCGTAACCCAAGAAAATCGCTATTTTGCGAAATCAGCATGATAATCAAGCCCAGTGCGCTATATGACCACCCTAGACGTTCAAAGAAAATCTATGTTTTCGACCCCATGCCATATAACCATTACAACTCTATGAAAGGGTCCCAATATGCAGAGAGATGATATTCAGAATTAGCATGTCGAACAAGCCATATGGACCAAACTCCAGCCAAATTTATGATTTTGACTTCCTACCGTACACCTAACCTATCCACACGGGAAGACGTTCTGCGGAGAAAGTGTGATATCTGTAATCAGCGTGTAAAAGGCCGGGCATAAATAGTGTGTATAACTTACGTATACTGATAAAATGCCCATCTTCTACACATTTATAACGTGCTTACAATGAGTTATGGACACCTGGAATATTGCTAAATCGCGTTGCGATTGAAATCGCTTGAAGTATGCCTGGCCCTTGAGATAACCCTTATACACGAAGTTTGAGCAAGCTCTACCACAAAATTTTGGGGCCCGGATAGCCGAATAGCGCCTAATAATATCGAACTTGTAATCAGCCGATTACCCCCTGTGCCAAATCCCAGCTTCGTAGCTCAAACTTTGCAAAAAAATGATAAAATCGATAAAAGTAATCGATAATCCTGAAGGCTAATGTTGTATTCGGAATCCTCATCGATTACCCCCTGCAAACTCCCAGCCCCGTAGCCCAAACTTTGCAAAAATCGATAAAATCGATGAAAGTAATCGGTAATTCTGAAAACTAATGTTGTATTCGGAATCCCCATGGTCGATTACCCCCCTGTGCCAACTCCCAGCCCCTAGGTGAACTCTGCAAAAAATCGATAAAAATCGATAAAATTGATATCGATCGATACGAAAAGTAGCCTATGACACCCGCCGGGGCCCGAAGTATATGTGTGCCAAGTTTGGTTCGGATCGGTTCGGGAAAGGAATTTTCTATTTGGAACATACGTACAGTCAGACATACAGACAGACAAACAGACATTCAGCTTTATATATAGGATTATTTTCTCTAGTGAAAGGAGATATGGCCGATTCTTATCAGTAAACATGCATTCATTACTGGCGTCCAGATTTTCTGCTCTTGCTCAACTCTTTCTTACGACAGTGCGTATTTATTGAAACAGTGTTGATTGTTCAAAAAATCAGCGATCCTTTCAATTTTTGATTATGTTCTGTTATCGCCACTTTGAGTGCGCTGAAGGTCTTGAGCATGCGTTTTTTCAACAAAACGCTGTTGCTTCGATGCTCTCTTGCAGTTGTGATGTCTGAGGAGAAAAGCAATTGGCGTTTTCTTTCCAAACAAAAAGTGCCTGTAACAGCGTTCAATTTTGCCGTTTGTCTTGAATCTAGTCCTAACCTCAGGTGAAAGGGGTCAGCCAATGACGGCCCTATAGTAATGGGGTTCAGAGAAATTTCTCCACCTATCGCATCTATGCCACAAAGACCGAGTATTGGAGCTGAGAACTTAATCGCCAGGCTATCGAAATTGGAAGCGCCTCAATCAAGAAGACCTTTACTTTCAAGCATCTGAGAAGTCACATATCTGCAGACGGTACACTTTAAGACAAGATTACCAGTAGAAAAACGCAGTTTGGATGAAAGGGGGAAGCTTCACAGGAATACTGTGCTACTAACGGATGCCGCTTAAGCTAAAATCACTTATCGAGCTGTTGTCTGCCCAATTCCTCTTCATGGCAGCGGATGTAGGCATTCGAGAAACGAAGAAAGAATGATCAGCATGTTGGAAACGGGTATGCTAAAACTGCAGATGCCACAATGATGGATTACGTCACTAACATACGAGCGGCGATGAAGGGTGCTCCGATCGTCAAGAAGATGAAGGAAAGCGACTTTATGGTGCGGATACGTAGGAATAAGAGCAGAAGACCACGTTACCAGAATGGCAGTGTCAGTCGAATACCTGGAAAGAGACGAAGAGGAGTACCACGATCACGCTGAATGAGCAAATCAAGGCAGATTTTAGAGGACGTATGGAGAAGACTAACCAGAGCAGCAGACCCCGTGTTAGGGGACCTGCAAGGAAAAAATTCTTTAGTGCTGGTGCTCTCATCAATAAGAGGGCATCGGTTATAAATTTCTATGCGCATTCCACGATGATAAGATCCACGCTTTTAACCACAAGTGAAATGTCACCAACTTTTTCAGCAGTTCATCGTGGACTGTAGGCTAAGACGCGGAGACTTCACTGCATTCGGCTCAATTACCCAAAGGCGTGCAAACGGGTACAATCACCTGCGGGATGCTTCGGCCAGAAATGGAAATGTCACTGATTTTGGGCAAATGGTTATACTTCCACACTCCTTTTCTTTTTGTTTCCCAAGTACGTGCAGCCCAGCGTAAGTCGATTTACGGAAGAGCTCTCCACTATTGAAGCGCTTACTGAACGTCACGACAACGCGGCGAGTCTTTGAACGGAAGTTCACGAAGTTTATGGACGTGCTTAAAAGCCACATCTACGGAGACACTCGTGTTTGATGTACACCGTGAATGGCAGAAATGCAGTCTTCCCCACGCACGCATCTTGTTAGAGTGGCTAAAAGGCAAGGTTTGCTTATTTTAGAGCAAAGCATCATCTCGGAGGAGCTACCCAACAAAAAGAGTATTCTTTTTTCTTCGATGTTATACACCATGATTCAAAGCCAAGCGCTTCACTAATCTCAAAGTCGCCTTTAAAAAAAGCGCAGGTGTACCAAAAGGTGTCTTCGTGTATTAGAAAATATAAATGCGCCAGACTGGCTCGTCGCTGCTTATGCAACTTTTCCACATATTTGCATGCACTCAATCGATATTACCGAATTACTCCATTAATATTTGCCTTGAACATCTTTGAAAGTGAAGCAGGACACCCCAGCCGTTGTCTATCTCCACCTCCACGGACTAATGGTCTATTCTTATTTGTGGCAACGTTATATCCTCGTTCATCTGACTTTTGTCGCCCTCTGCAAAGAAATGACTTCTGCTATGTAAGTTTGACCTATTGGGATTAAAACAGACTGCACCAAACGTGTGAGGCACGAAATTCATAGAAAATCAGGAAGAAACATTAAGGTTCTACAAAAAAGTTAATGAAATGAAAAATAATGAAACAATACTTTGTCTGCCCTAATCTAGCATTTTTGAATGTTAGCATATTCTCTCTTCAAGTATGTAAAGATCACTGAAGCACAGTAGTTTTTTTTGAGAAGAAGAGAGACTGAGGGAAATATCAATAAAAGGTCTGCAGTTTTAAGTTTCGAATTTCAACTTTTATTGTCGCTTGCAATCGCAGAATTTAACTCAAATAGCAGGTTTTTCACCAGTCACTTCTTTTTCTTATTCATATTGATGACAATAAAATCTAAGTGGCATTCCTAGTGGAATTCCTTCTGTCCGCAATGTTATTCGTCCTCGCGGCTCTCCCCGAAATACTTTCAGCTTTTCTAGAGTTATATCTCTTAGAGGTTCTCTTCTTCCTTATAGCATTATTCCTTGCCAAATATCTTCTGTTGGGGCTACCAGACCTCCACCTAGAAAAATTCTTGATTGCTGCATCTTTCGTACTCCTCCTAACATTCCAAGCGGCTCTATTCATCCCTAATGGACTTTTCCAGGGAGTATTCCTGAAATTTGAAAAGTTTTTTTTCAAAAATGTTTTATTCCTCCTATTGTTCCCTGTGAAATCGGTCCTGCTATGACTACTGGAACTCCGACTAACGGGACTCCTCTTTGCTGCATTTCCCGGATTCCTCTTAGCATTAGTATGGGGGTTATACTTCCTCATGAGAGTTTCCCCGGAAGTATTCCTGATATTTATGTTGTTTCCCCTAGGGGCTGTATTCTTTCTCACGGCACTACTCCCTGCAAAGTATCTTCTATAAAGATTATTGGAATTGGAATTCCAAGTAAGTGGACTTCCTTCTGCATTTTTCGAGTTTCTCTCAAAATTAGTCAAGGGGGCATAATTCGTCCCGATGGCAGGTCTCCCGCGAGTATTCCTGGCATTCTTGTTATGAATCCTAGCAGGTGCATTCGCCCTCTTGGCATTTTTCATTCCAAAATATTTTCTGTAATTATTGGAACTCCGAGTAGCGGGAGTTGTCCTTGCTGCATTTTTCGATTTCCTCCTAAAAGTAGTCCGGGAGGCATTATTTTTCCCGACGGCAGGTCTTCCGCGAGTATTCCTGGCATTGTTATATATCCTAGCAGGTACACTCGTCCTCTTGACATTTTTCGCTTTAAAATATTTTCTGTAATTATTGGAACTCCAAGTAGCAGGAGTTGTCCTTGCTGCATTTCTCGAACTCCTCCTGAAGTTAGTCCAGTGGGCATAATTCTTCCCGATGGCAGGTCTCCCGCGAGTATTCCTGGCATTCTTGCTATATGACGTAGCAGGTGTATTCGTCCTCCTGGCATTTTTCCTTTCAATGTATCTTCTGTAATTATTGGAATTCCAAGTAAGTGGATTCAGTGCTGCATTCCTCGAATTCCTCCTAAAATTAGTCCAGGCATTATTCGTCCCGATGGCAGGTCTCCCGCGAGTATTCCTGGCATTCTTGCTATACATCCTAGCAGGTGCATTCGTCCTCCTGACACTTTTGGCTTCAAAATATCTTTTGTAATTATCGGAACTCCAAGTAGCGGGAGTTGTCCTTGCTGCATTTTTCGAATTCCTTCTAAAACTAGTCCGGGGGGCATTATTTTTCCCGACGGCAGGTCTCCCGCGAGTATTCCTGGCATTGTTATATATCCTAGCAGGTGCATTCGTCCTCCTGGCATTTTTGGCTTCAAAATGTCTTCTGTAATTATTAAAACTCCGAGTAGCGGGAGTTGTCCTTGCTGCATTTTTTGATTTCCTCCTAAAAGTAGTCCAGGGGGCATTATTTTTCCCGATGGCTGGTTTCCCGCGAATATTCCTGGCATTCATGTTGTTTTTCCTGATAGGTATATTCGTCTTTATATTTACGGATAATGCCGTTTGGGCTACTTTTACAAAGAACTCGAGAAATGTAGCAGGGAGAAATCTCGTTACTTTTCTTGGATTCCACGTAGAAGTAGTCCAAACGGCATTCCGTCTCATGTTATTCTTCTTCATCGAGCACTTATACAATGTGTTGATATTATCGATGTCCGATCGGGTAAAGTATGTTCGTATGTAGGGTTTGAAATTCTTGAATGGGTAGTGCATGACTGAATCACTATCGTATTCACCCATGTATTGTGCCTGAGTTCTCGAGATAGTCATTCCCCGATTAGCATAATCGCGTGCGGGATCTGGAAATTCAGGAGGGCCTGCGGTAACGAGTGGATCGCGATCCTCTCTGCAAAAATTTTTTTCGAGTTTACAAGCTCAGAACAAGCAAAACTATTCTATATATACACCTTTGATGTTCGTGGTAAAAGCCGATGCTATGCATCAGTTCATGAATCATAGCTGGCCTGTTAAAGCAATCAGGATCCATATTCAAATCACTAATGAACTTGCCCTCATTTGTCGGATGAGAAGAAATATCCCGACCGATGACGCTATAACACCTAAAGAAAAGGTGGAATATCTAGATTAATTTACAAACTAATACTTACCACTTCTTGGGTATTGCAGTAATCAACAAGTAATACATATCACGTTCTGTTCGCTTCCGGAATTTTATGCATGTATTTTTTTGAAACGCATTTATCGCATATCGTACGTGTCCTCGTTGAGTATCATTCAGATATGGTACGAGTTCGTATGGAACAACCGCTCCTGGCCAGATACTAAAACATAGGGTAAAAATAAGCTTACACAAGGGGCATTACAGCAAATTTAAGCGAGAACCAACTTACCGTGGTTCACTAGAAAAGATCGCAAGCCCTTTGAAATGTTTACGGTTAACAGCGCCCGCACTTCTTTTTTCACTTTCATCGGTTTCTGCAAATGCTATCTCATATATAAAGCTGAATGTCTGTTTGTCTGTCTGTATGTCTGTATGTCTGTCTGTCTGCCTGTCTGTCTGTCTGTCTGTACGTATGTTCCGAATAGAGATCAACCGATGTCGATTTTATCAATTTTTTGCAAAATTTGAGCTACGGGGCTGGGAGTTGGCACAGGGGGGTAAGTGAGCATGGGGATTCCGTGTGCCAAGTTTGGTCCGGATCGGTTAAGAAAAGGAATTTTCTATTTGGAAGATACGGCGGAGCCGGGTAAGCCAGCTAGTTTGGTATAAACTTTTGCGACAGGAAACGTTATTTGTAGGATTGTAACAGAGTGAATATGTGTGCAAGCGTTATCCAAAGTGCTTCAAAAAAGAGAAGCGTTTCCTCAAAAAATTGTACATAATTTCTCTCTTCCTCAAAATTCCTCATGCTTTCATTTGAAACCAAAAGTGAATGTAATTCCGAGTAGATTTCTCGGTAGGTATCGTGCGCTGGCAATGCGGCAGCATTTATGCTTGCAATTGCCGCAGAGCAAGACGTTTTAGGTAAGTTCAGTGTTTTCTGCTCTCATTCTTCACTTTTTACTTCACTTTTTATGCTTCGTTCGACTAAAAGTGAAAGTAAGCTAGAAAGCAGTTTTTGTTGTTTTGGCTGATTATATCTTCGTTAGTTTAGGTATATGTTATGAGTGCTGTATTTCATGTTAGTGAGATGCAGCTTTCATAACACATGAGCAGCTTTCATAACACATGAAAGCTGCATCTCACTTCGTCACTAGTCCTCTCTGTGAACTCTTTCATTTCAAAAAAAAAACGTTCTTCAAATCAAAGCACTCATTAATAGCGGATCTTACACCCTACATAGTCTGTTCACACAAAAGTAACATCGTCTTACATCAATGTTTCCTGATAAGAGAACGTCAAAGCTTGTAAAAACTTGCTAGAATTGTAAAGAAACGTTCTTTGATGAAAAAAAGGTGAAGGATAGGTTTAGTCACACACAGTTAATGTGAGGCTGCTATTAGGGTAGGTTTGAACTCAAACGGCGAACAATATACTAGTTAACTTTGATAAAGTAATCAACAATACATATACCCTAAAATCACACAGATAAGTCCTCCCATCAGATAAGTTCAGATGAGTCCGCTTTCTTGACTCGAATATGGCTCTCCAGATAAGTCCGATTTCTTTCCATTATAACTACCGTAAAATCTGTCAGATAAGTCCGGACTTATCTGATGGGAGGACTTATCTGCAAGACTTCTGGCGGCGCAAGAGCGGATTTTCATCGATCTTTCTTGTCAAAAAGACGGACTTATCTGTAAGACTTTAGAGTATTCATGAATTTCAAAGAATGGTTATACTAAATACAAATCATGCCAATTAGTTTAAACTTATGATTTTTTCAAGATACCTGCAGTCGCTTCATTTCATATGATCATGTGTGCCATTGCACACACACAGCCCACTTTGGCGTCCTCATCCTGGATTTGCAATCAAAACGCAAGAGACTTACCGATTGTTGTCGATTACATCAATTTGAGGTAACTAGTAACTAAAAAGGAAAGAAAATGCTAATAACGCCTTGGAAACACTTACCTGAAGAGTTGTTTTCCCACAAATCCAGGATGGGGACGCCAAAGGTGAACTGTGTGTGCAATGACACACATGATCATATGAAATGAAGCGACTGTAGTTAATTACAACGATATTCTCAGTAAACTTGATAGATAACAAATTTTGAACATTCTCAATAAACAATTTAATTTGTTGATGATTACCACAAACATATAACTACAGGAAATCTAAGTCTAACAGAAGACAAAATAAGAACAATTACATCTAAAAAAAACAAATGTTGGTTACAAAACGAATTTGACAAGAAGGATTTCAAAGAAAGTTTTATTATTTTTCACAGTTTTCGTTTTTATGTCTAAATTCAATGCGCATCCTATATTTTGTTATTTTGAACTTGTAATAAAGATGATTGTTTTTTGTATGCAAGTGGGTTATTTACCATTGATATGTCACCATATCCTTTGATGTTGTGTTAAATCCATATGGATATACCGTATTCAATAATTTATATCAAAATACTATAATTTATCACTAACAAGGGAGCGATACTCAATGTCCGTGGCCTTTCGAACCATGATTCATACATTACACTCGTCTTCGAACGCTGATTCCGAATCTGTTTTCCTTTTCTGCTAGTCTTTCTCTAAAAAAATTATGGGGAAATTTCGAGCCAAGTTTGGCTGTTCAAGGGAAATTTGGCCGCTGGAACGGCCTGTACCGCGGCCATTTTCTGGTCTAATGGTTAGTGCAATAGCCTTATAAGTTGATGCAGGTGTAGGTTCAAACCCCTCTGTGTTTCTTCTTTTGCATTACCTCATTTAGGCTTGTTCGAAAAATTTACTTGAGCTATGGCCATCGGATACATTTTAGCGCAGATAGTAATCATTTTTCCAAATTTCTACATCTTTTGAAGAATAAGGGAGTTCACTTAGCTTGATGATGCGAAAGAAGGTTAATTGAGGCAATGCAAAACTGAAAAACACAAAAGATTTCGAACCTGCAGCTGCATCAACTCATGGGGCTATCGCACTGACCAATAGACCACAGCGTACCGGTAACGTTGGCGCTCCGACATGTCTCACTGGGCACCCACAATCCGCGCGATTCATTATAACATTTTTGAAGCGATTACCAGAAACAGAAGTCAGATTCGGAATCAGTGTTCCAAGACGATTGTAATGGTATACATATCATCTTAAAAGGTCACGGACACCGAGTATCGTTTCCTTGTATGTGTTAGGTTGTTTCATAAGTTTTTTAAATTTTGACTCTGAAGCAATAACTCACATAATTTTCAATTCTGATTAGAATGTAGGGTACCATTCGATAGAGCAAAGCAAGGCCTATAAGATGTCGTGTAAGCTGTTGCATCAGTTTCAGCATCACGATTTAGAAGCCGAGACCTGAAAACTTCTGAATACTCAAAGATTGACAATTTTCTGTAACTTTGCCCAAAGAAAACTTACGCTCACGCATATATAGTCCATAGAACATTTTCATATGTGCCCTTGATGTGTTTTTTTTTCTGTGCTAAAAACCGAAACAACTAAGATTTTCAAGCTTTCAAAAAAGCGATGCTGCGCTATTTTTACACAGGTAGCTGTATACTACAAGCCTATAGAAGTACAGTCACAATTTTTTGACTTTCTATAAGCTCTAGTTCCCAAGAGATGTCAATTTCAACATGCGATACCTAAGCAAAAGAGTTAGATTCGGTATTTCTCAAGAACAAGCGCTTCCGGAAAGCTGAAAATTTACCAATGTAATATTGAAGGCCTGTAGTATGCATCTATCTGTGTGAAAACAGCGCAGCATCGTTTTTTTGGAAGCATGAAAATTATAGTTTTCTCGGTTTCTAACACAAACAAACAAAGCAACGACACATATGAGTATGTTGTTTGAAGTATATATGTGTGAATGTTAGACCTGGTGAGTTTTCTTCGGGCAAAGCTACAGAAGGTTTCCAAATTTTTGGGCATCCAGAACTTCTCAGATTTCGGCTTCTGACTCGTGATGTGCTGAAGCTGGTGCAAAAACTTACACGCCATCTTATAGAGTTTGCTTTGCTCTATCGAACGGTATCCTGCACCACAATCAGAATTGTGAAGTGTGCGAGTTATTGCCTTAGAAATTCAAAATTAAAAAAACTTATGATACAACCTAATATATTTTAGTGTTTATCGCATTGCCTAGAACGCTTACTTACCCTTACGCTTACTCTCGTTAGACACTTCTCTTTATGCAAATATTAGGTGGATCCGTAAGTTTGTAGCGTTTTTAGACCTGTTCCAAATTGTTTAAAATGAAGATAGACAAATCATTCAAATAGTATCCAATGCAGACTTTCTTCCTTCTTCCAGCAGCTAAGTTTACGTTGTGACTTCGACGAACGCTGAGATAATTGCCGGAATCTGAAAGCCTCCATTTTACCATGTCTAACTTTCGCTAATTTTCGGAATTTTTTTTTAGGTTTTTGAAAGTGCTTCAATAACCACCTGATAAGGCAAACCTTTTACAAATCTATGCAATTTTGGCATCTCTATAGCATGCTTTCTAGAATTACTAGAATTTTAGGTTGGTGCAAAAATAATGAGCGTTTTCCCGCATTTCACTTTAACTTGCTATAACTTTCTACAAAATTTACATTTTGAAATTGATAAAGACCATCAGATGCAGCGAACCTTTCGCAGTACACCGCACATTGAACTATACTCATATCTCATATGGGCAGAAAAATATGGATTGAAAAACAAAAAGAGTTTTTTCTGAAGCGTTGTTTTTGACAGAACATGGGAAAGGATTGAAGAAAAAATATTAGCGAAGAGGGAAAAATCGAAATTCAAAAATAACAACTTTTTTAGCATTTTCTCAGTAGGCCTCAAAACCCCGAAGAAATTTTTTAATTTTCTGCGTGAAAAGCTGGATGTTTTTGCAAAAACCGCTAATGGGACTCCTACCCTCACGCTTACAGAGATGAGCAAAGTTTGAGCGAATGCATTTTACAAAAAAAAGTTATGGGCTCTTAAATGACCACAACCAGTACCCATGTTAAGCGGCCGATATCTCACTATAGATAACTTGAAAAAATATAGTTGAATATGCATAATGTAGACAATTTCCATTACATATAGCGGCTAAGTTTTCGATAAACCACCTTCATTCGCGCTCGAATTCTGGCCAGAAAAATGAATGCAACGAAAATCTAACTTTGAGTGCAATTATGTGAAGCTCTATAAATTCTTAACAGAGTGGGAGGAAAACGCTCATTATTTTTGCACCAACCTAATATATTCTTGAAGTGAGCCAATTTCGTACTTGGCTCATTGCCACCTCGCAAAACATCAAACGTTAAACAGTTTAGGTACCATTTAATGCATCTTTTTTCCTTTTTTGATAACTACCTTTTCTCTGCAAAAGTATGCGCAAGGTTGTAGTCGAAATTCCAAAATCTATCCAATTTTACGCCGTAATTGCTCATTTACTTCGTAATACCAGTGACAGTAATAGCCAAGTTTTAAAACTTTATATTTTGAGGATCTCGCAGTGCTTGGTGCAATTATATGTCACGCGATTTCTTTCAAAATCCAATACTTTGATAAAATAATTCAACAATGTTGTAAAGAAAACTGAAAAATGCAAAAAATTGCATTAATCTGCAAGAGTTTGCCTTATCAGGTGGTTATTGAAGCATCTTCACAACTCTCAAATGAAAATCCTGAAAATTAGCAAAAGTAAAGCAATGCAAAAATGGAGAGCTCTACTTCTCGGCAATTATTTCAGCGCTTGTTGGAAGAGTAACAACGTAAACATAACTGCTGGAAAGAGGAAGAAATTCTGCAAAGGATACTGTTCGAACAATTTGTCTGTCGCCATTCTGAACGAATCTTATATATAAACCTGAATGCCTGTTTGTATGTATGTATGTATGTATGTATGTATGTATGTATGTATGTATGTATGTATGTATGTATGTATGTATGTATGTATGTATGTATGTATGTATGTATGTATGTATGTATGTATGTATGTATGTATGTATGTATGTATGTATGTATGTGTTTACGTATGTTCCGAATAGAAAATTCCATCTCTGAACCGATCCGGACCGAACTTGGCACACTTCAGGCCCCGGCGGGTGTCGTAGGCTACTTTTCGTCATCGATCGATATCGATTTTATCGATTTTTTGCAAAATTTGAGCTACGGGGCTGGGTGTTGACACAGGGGGGTAATCGAGCATGCTGATTACGAATATAACAATGACAGGGCCGAGCGGAGCCGGGTAAGTCAACTAGTTCAAAATAAGTTAACGACAATAACGACCCGAGCTTTAAGACCCCACCTAATAGCTGGAAATGAACATAAAAATAATCACGGACATCGTTTTTGTTTGCGTGGTAAATATGTTCTTTAATTCTTCTTTCTAAAACTTTCATTCCTACGTATGTCTATTACATTCATTATATGTAATGCTATAAATCAGATTTTTACTAGTACAAGAAAAGCTATCATTACAGTGCGTGTGAGTTATAGTTTAGCTGAAGTGCTTATTATATAAGGTTAATGTCCTACCTACGTACAAATACAAAAACGTACTTTTGTACGTACAAACTATTAGGTTGGCTCGGAATTTCTCGGACATTTTTAGACGAGATCTGATTTCTCGAAACATAGCGCAACTACATCCGACAGAGGTACCATTCGATAGAGCAAAGCAAGCTCTACAACATGTTATACAAAAGTTCGCACTACCTTCGACCCAGCGGAAGTTTGCATCCAGAATCTGAGTCGTACTAAAGCCTTGAAAAATTGGGAAAAATTCATATCTGTTGATATAAGTCCTTCGGGCCTCCAAGTTGTTTAATCAAACTGCACGCTACATCAGACACTCATATGTATTATCGCTGTATTTTTCCTCATTTAGAATCGAAAAAACGAAAATTCTCATTTTGGTGCAAAAACGAAGCTGTGCTGTTTCCACCCATGTAATTGTTTACTACAAGCCCTTAAAAGTGTAACCGTAAATTTTCAACTTTCTACAGTCTACAGTTACCGAAAATTAGCAAATTGAGCTCTTAGCACCCGAGTGTTCCACGTAAAATCAATATTTTTTGGAAACTAAGGCTTGCCAAAAGCTAAGAATTTACTTTAATACTTCAAAGGGCTAGTAGTACCCACTTACTTGGGTAAAAACAGCACAGCTTGGATTTTGCATAAGCGTAAAAATTTATGTTTTCTCGATTTTTAGATTGAAAAAAAAATACAGGAAAGGTACATATGAGTGTCCGATGTGGTGTGCAAATTGCATGAGCAGTTTGGAGATCCGTAGAGTTTTTTAAACGAAAATATGATTTTTTCCGATTTTTCGAACGTTCAGTACGGCTCAGATTAGGTGCAAACTTACGGTGGGTTAAAGCTGGTGCGACATACTGTCTTGTAGAGCTTGCTTTGCTCTATCGAATGGTACCTCTGTTGGATGTACATGCATCAGGTTTCGAGATATAGCAGATCTTGTCTAAAAATGTCCAAGAACATCGAGCCAACCTAATATCAGTTTGGTCCGAAAGTTCGTGCCGTTTTCTGGACCCATGCGTGCCGTTTTCTGGACCCATGCTTAAACCATTCAGAATAAGGACAGAGAAATGTTGTAAGCACTGTCCGATGCAGCATTTCATTCTCTTCTTAATGGTTGTGTTCTTGTTCAAAGTCCCTTGTTGTCAGCTCAATAATCGGCAAGGATCTCCAACAAATGATTTTTATCCAATTGGAGTTTGACTGTTTTTGAAATTTCCATTTTAAACCTTTGATCTAGCTTTGAATAGTTGAATAATCCAAGTAAAATGCAGTACATTACAATTTTTTGCATCTCTGGCTGGCTTCTTAAAATTTTTGAAAATATTTTTTGATGCTATCAAATTCCATATTTGCGCATCTCACCTCACTTCTGATTTGTATATTATGTGAGAATAACATTATAATTCTTGTTTTCAGATCGTCCTAGGCTGTACTTAGAAAAATTGAAATCCAATATTTTGAACCGATATGCGCTCAATTGCTTACTAAAATCAGCGTTAAGTAATAAGCTAATTTGTAAGCTTCAAATTCCGGAGGTCTGTCTTTGTTTGAAACGGTTGTGTACTTCACGACTTCGCAAAAGTAAGAGTTTTTGGAAAAATTATTTTAAGAGATACTGTAAGTTCGTTTATGAAACCAGAACATCGCTTTAATGCATTTTGTTTGTTCTATCCAACTGCCATCAAAATTAAAAAAGTTGAAACTGGAAATTTCAAAAAAAAGCCAAACTCAAGATGGGTAAAAATCATGTCATTGGTTGCAGATCTCTGTTGATTATTGAGCGAACAACAAGGGAATCTGAACGTATGCATAACATTCAGAAAAAAAAAGAAATTTTGCATCGGCCAGTTCTTACAGCTTTTATCTACCTTTTTCTGAGTGGTTTGAGCACGGGTATGAAAAGCGACACGGACTTTCGGGCCGACCCAATATATGGTCATGCGTGTGGGAAGAACTTGAGACAACTGGGGACGGAGTTTGCCATTGAAAGATGTGTTGAGCATATGCTAGAGAACGGGAAATTTTTTAAGACTTTTGAGATGGAGAAACGATTCTTCACGGTAGAGTTCGTTTAACTGTTATCAGATTCTAGCTTCAATCTTCACGTGGAGTGCGATTTGCAGACTCTACTCATCTTGTAGAGCTTGTTTTGCTCTCAAATGGTCACTCAGGCCGCTTCAATTGAAGGTAAGAAATAATAAGACTATGACTGTAGTAAAAACGGTGAAAAATTACGAGACACCCTAATATCATGGTTACAAAATCATCTAAAGTATGGGTCTTATTCAACTAACTCTTATCAAATTGTACTGATTTATAATAATCACCGAAATCATTAGCTATAGTTTTAGACAATAAAAAGATACACTGTGACTGGCCTTTGCCCACTGCCCTATAAGCAGAAGGTATTTTAGCAGGGCTGCTGCTAGGCTTGCAGCAACCCTTATTGGGTTTGACTTGAGCTGATTTTCAGAAAAGTAAACTTATGAGCTCTTAAAAAAGTATCCTTCCCTTCTTGCCCTCTTCTCACTATTATCACCCATCATAAGCTTCTTCGTTTTTTTGAAAAAAGAGGTGCGGCCCTCTTTTATTACATTGATGCATAATTCCTGCACCAAAATAGGAATAGACAGCCATATTCCTGTATCCCATATAGGATTCGATATATCATTAAATAGAGCAAACCTAGCTCTACAAGATAGTGCTTAAAGTTTTGCAGCAGCTTTGACTCAAGCCAAGATTGAAGCCAAGGTTGAAAAAGATCCAACAGCCCCAAAAAACCGAGAAAAAATTGGAAGTCGGTTCAGAAAAATCCTTCGAAATTCCTAACTTGCTCATGCATTGTAATTTCTATAGGAGATTTCTACAGTTGCTGTATTTTTCTCTCATTTAGAAACCGAGAAAATGAAATTTTAATGTTTTGCCAGTTTAGTCCTAAGATGTTCTAGCACTCACTGACAGTTGTTCACTATAGGGCCATAGAAGCGTGAATGTGAATTTTCAGCTTTTTATAGCAGCTGGTTTACAAGTATCGATTTTCTAGCAACTAGGCAAGGAAAATTCAGACAAGGAGAGCTAGATTCGTCATTTCTCGTGAACTAGCTGTTCTAGAAGGTTGAAAATGTAAAGTTTTACTGCTCACTTCATGTACTATACAACTGTTAGTGCTGAAACATTTCAGCACTAATTTGGCAAAAACATAAAAAACTTCGTTTTCTCAATTTCTAGCTGAGAGAAAAATACTGCCTGCATAGAGAAACGTCTTATACGAAATCATAGTGCATGAGCAAGCTAAGAGTTTTAAGGATTTTCTGAACGGACTTCCAATTTCTCTTGGTTTTTGTGGGCGCTTGGATCTTTTTCGTTTTTGACTTTGACTTTTTGAATTCTTCGCGGATCAAAACTGCTGCAAGACTTTGAGCACTATCTTGTAGTGCTAAGTTTGCTCTATCTGATGATATATCGAATTTTATTTGGGATATAAGATTATTCCGGATTATAGCGGTATGTACCTATTTTGGTGCAGGAATTATGCATTAACCTAACATTTTAGGTTCGCCCGAAAGTTCCTTTGCACTATTTTCAAAAATTCATAATCCCCAATTTTTTCTGCCGATTTGCGTGCTCCCGTTTTTATCTGAGTAAGCAATTCGTTCTCTACACAGAGAACGAATTGCTACACTCCCCTTCCTAGCGTCATTTCATTGAGCATACACTACATAGATATAAGCGATAGAAGAAAATTACTCAAATTTTGAATATTTTGTGTAGGACCATAGAAAATCTGGAAAACTTGCAGTAAAAACGGAGCAGTCGTCATTACAGGTTCTTCCACCAGCTCTGATTATACTATGAAATGTTCTCTATAAAAGGTTACGATTTTCGAGCAAGCAATACAAAAAAACATTTGATTTATTTTAGCATTTTTTAGGGAAATCATAACTTTTTATAGAGACTCCCAATCAGCACAAATTTTGCACTGTTAAAAAGAGCTGAGAGGATCTATAGTTTGACTGCTTCGATTTTTACTGCAAGTTTCAGATTTTTTATGACCCTAGACACAAAATCCAAAATTTGAGTAATTTTCTTGTATCGCTTATATCTATGCTCACTAGAATGCCGCTAGCAAACGTCTGTGTAGGGAACGAATCGTTTTTTCAGATAAAATGGGAGCATGCAAATTGGTTGAAAAAACCAGGATTTGGGCTAACCTAATATAATGGTAATCGATGTGGCAAGTGTTGTAAACCTGCGAGAAGGGAAAATAAAATTAATAAAAGTAATATATAATGAAAACAATGAAACAAGTTTTAAAATGTAATAGTATATAAAAATAGGATGTCCCAAAAAATGTGCACACTGTTGGTAACTCTCCTGCTTTCATGTCTCTTGCCGAGCTTAAGGTGCCACTGTGTGGATCGAGGTTCAACTTAAATTTGTTGTGTGGAGCAAATGACATCCTTCTTCATCACTGTAAGATTACGGTAGAAACTTCGAGGAGGATTTTGAGCCACTGAAAGCGATAATTTGCCGGTAATTTGCCTCAGAAAGAAAGCCGAACAAACCAGAAACTCCTGAATGGGCTAATCGAAGACGCTATGTTTAAACATGAAATTGCACTTTCGTATAGTCTTTCATAAGTTATTTCAGATTTAGGGAATAACTGTTTCAACGTTATTCAAAAATGTGAATACGCCATCAAGAAAGCCCGAAAAATTCATGAAGAGTTATGTAGTCAAATCAGCACACCCCTGCAAACTTTGCCATACAAATTTTCAGTTTTTTCTGAATTATTTTAATAAAAGGCCCATTTTACAGTGACGCTGTATGCTGGAAGTTCATACCGTAGTCCTACAGTAAT